ACACACACACAACAACCACACACACACACACACACACACACTCAGCTCAGCGCACACACACGACGCTCGCGCGCGCCACCACAGCGCGCACCCCACCAACACACACACGCGCGCGCCACCACACACCCGCCTGCGCCGCACAGCCACCGACCGCGCACAGCACCGCGCAGCACACGGCACACGCACACGCCCACACACGCACACGCACACAGCAGCACGCCCACGCACACGCACACGCACACGCACACGCACACGCACACAGCAACTGACACACACACCCACGCCACCCACCCACACGACACACACACACACACACACACAACACACACACACACACACACACACCACACACACACACACACACACACACACACCACACACACACAGCACGCGCCACGTTACGCACCCCCCCCCCCCACCCACACGCTACGCACGCACGCACGCACGCCAGCACACACACACACCAAATACACACACACACACACACAACCAACACACACTCACACACACACACACACACACACACACACACACACACACACACAACAAACACACACACACACACAACACAACACCACCACACCACACACACACACACACACACATAACACCACCCACACACATATATATGTATATTATTATTATTATTATTATTATATAAATATGAAATCACGTTGTGGTTCTAACAGCACGTAACATCCATGTCATAATTGTACTAGTTTACTATTTATATTATTTTATATTATTATATTATATTATATTTATATTATATTATATTTATATTTATATTACCATTTATATTATACCATTATATTATTTATATTATAGCGTATATTATATAAAATACCTATTATTCCCATGATTAATTTAGACGATCGTAAATGATACCCAACATATTCTCCGGACACCATTATATGTTGTTGTAGCATGGTAGGCGTATAATCCGTTAAATAATTTGATGTTTACATGCTCAATTAGGTCTTCCTCAGGTCATTAGGTTCTCCTCAGGTCTTCAGACGTAATAAACACACCAACCTTGATAATAAATAAATCTAAACTTATTTTGTTGAAATATGTAAAGGGCTACACACCTGTGATGAAAAATAAGTGCATAGAGTTGTGAAAATGCTTCCGTGCGGCTAATTGACACTAAATTATAAACAAAACTCAGCATACCTGTTTTTTGAATATGTACCAGCTATTGCGAATATCATTCTGCTCATAAGAATTATGCTGTCGATAGAGTTTATTCGTACGTGCATGCCAAATCACCAGACACACAACCAATAATAACAAATAATCATGGTTGCAAGCCACCATCAGCGTCGAAAATAAATGTAATCGTATTACAGCTTGTGTGCTGCTGGCGTATGGTGGACTTCCTAAAACTCTTATTGTGGCGCCTGCAAATTTAATAAGATTGATCTAGATTAAAAAAATGACGACTGAAAATAAAATATTCAGTGGTATATATTATGCCAGTATTAATCAGTATTGTGAACGCACATAGGTTATCCATGTGAAATGATATGAAGTATGAAAATGATATAACAATGAAGTTAGTTGCCAATTTCATCCAATCCATCCATCCATACATTACATTCCAGTCAACCATCGATCCATTCCTCCATCATACAATCAATTATTCATCCCCATCCATCCATCCATCACCATTCCATCCATCCATCCATCCATCCATGCCATCCAATCCATCCATCCAACCATCCCAATCCATCCATCCATCCATCCATCCATCCATCCATCCATCATTATCATCCATCCATCCATCCAATCATCCATCCATCCATCCGTCCGTCCGTCCGTCCGTCCGTCCGTCCGTCGTCGTCCCGTCCGTCGCGTCCGTCCGGTCCGTCCCGTTCTCGTCGTCCGTCCGATTCGCTCCGTCCGTCCGTCCGTCCGTCCGGTCCGCCCGTTCGTCCGCTCCGTCCGTCCGTCCGTGTCCGTCCGTCCGCTCCGTCCGACGTCCGTCCGTCCGTCGTCCGTCCGTTCATCGGCATATCCATCCATCCATCCATCCATCATCCATCCAATCCATCCATCCATCCTATCCATGCCAGTCCATCCATCCACCAATCCCATCCCATCCATCTATCCATCCATGCCACGCATCCATGCCATCATCATCCATCTTCATTTATCGTCCATCCCATCCGTCCCGTACCCGTCCGTGCCGTTCGCGTCCGTCCGTCTCGATCCGTCCGTCCGTTCATATCCATCCAGATCCATCCATCCATCCCATCCACCATCCATCCATCCATCCATCCATCCATCCATCCATCCATCCATCCATCCATGCCATCCATCCATCCACCATCCATCCATCCATCATTCTATCCATCCATCTATTCCATCCATCCATCCCATCTATCCATTTATCCGTCCATCCATCGCTGTCCGTCCGGTCCGCTCCCGTCCGCTCCAATCCGTCCGTCCGTCGTCCATCCGTCCGGTCCGTCCGTTCTTCCATTCGATCCTATCTCTTTCCTATCTATCTCATTCATGCATCGTGACTTCGTATTACAGGTGACGTTGCTTTCATTTTTGAAATTACGATCGATAGGTTATATATTAAACTGACAAGTTAATAGTTCTTGGTCTGATACATATTCCTACGTTTAAGTATGTTTAAATCGGCTTCGGGTGTTAAAGGCCACACAAGTCGAGGTTCTGACCGCCTCTCCAGAACAGAAGTTAATAAGAACAAAATGTGGCATCCGAATGAATATTAGATAGTTAAAGTTTTGAAGATTACGCTAAAATGGGCGGCACAAAGTCGTATATATATCAACGCAATCTTTGACGTCTATTTGTGAACTAGCCGATCGCGTTACCGACGACATGCGGCCGTGGTAAACGTGTCTATGCATAAGCATGCGAATTGGCTAAACTTACAACGGCAGTTCCGTTTATGCTTCTCTAAGCATCGCACCGAGGAAATAATAGACAGAATACGTGACAAAATCTAGCCCGACATATTAAAGCGAATAGTGTATAGTTTGTGTTTTAGAAATTTCAATTATGTCATGTCAGGCGGATGAGCTGTTAATAATTTCTTGTCTTTTCCTCGTCATTATCTGAATTGTTCCTGATTGCGATCACGCAACCGTCATATTTATCATGTACATCACGACAACATCGCAGCGATAACATATATACGTGAGTGAATTCTTGCGATAATAGACTCGGTGTGTGTTGAACACCTAATGCTAAGCGCCGGGTTAGTTCATACCGTGTTTCGATGATCCGGATATTGCGGATTTTTCGGAGATTCGACGCTATTTCTCGCCGCATAAGAGCGTATATCAGAACAACTCGCTGTAATTTTGCACGATCACTTTATTAATTAATCCAATCACATCAATATTTTTTTGAGCATTGTGTAACTTTTCCAACGAACTCGCGAACTACTACATCACAGATGGGCCAGTCAAATCATTACATCAGCTGGACGAAATATAGACTGTAGGTACACCAAAACGTGCATTGAATGTCGTTCTAATGAATAACGTGATATTGTAAATTCATATTCGTGTCTTGTCCATTGGCTTCTGTTTAGTCATTCTACTTCATATGCAGGCATGAGGATCCATTGTCAACTAGCAAGGTAGAGACGTCGAGCGTAGAAACACCAGCCGTAGCTGCGGACGGCGCACAGCCATAGCCCAACGAGAACCACCCAATCTGCTCCCTCCGTTCTTGCAATCATTGGTCCGCCGGAGTCACCCTGAAGAATGAAATCCAAAACAACATATATGGTAACGTCGACTAAGAATTCATTGCAACAAACACGGGAAAAAAAAATATGCAACACACGAAAATGCGAATAAAAAACACAGCACACTTTACACATTACAGCACATATCACACTAATAGCCATCGTAACAAAACCTATATTTTATATCCTGCTAACATTTATTTGAGAAGATGTACCGGCAGCGTTCTTTACCACCTTGTGGCGTATCCCGCACAGCAGCGATTGTCATTAGGTAATAGAAGATGATCCGTCGTCTCTTGCACTCTTCAGTTTAGTTGATCACGGGTACGTGCACAGACCTGGAGGATGTTGGATATAATTCCACCTCTTACAAATAGAACGAATTAGTCCATCAATTTCATGTTGAACAAGAATAATGCGGGTGCTAGCAAAGAGGCAATCTGGATGCTGCAGTGCGGTGCCGCTGCGTGCCGCATGCATGCGTGCGTGCGTGCGTGCGTGCTTACGTTTATTGGTGCGCCAGCGTGTGTGCACAGTACGTGTGATCCCTTGCGTATGAACGTATGTATATATGATATATATATATATATATATATATATATATATATATATATATATATATACATGTTTTTTTCTGGTACGGTGACTGCATGACCATAACATGTTAAACCGTTTAATTAGAGTGGTGCGTATCCTGCGAGTACGTTACCTTCTTGGTTGCTAACCCCCAGCCATGAAACCCATAGGCGTCCGTTCCAGCGTAATCCCCGCTTCCGGAGCCGGCCAACTTCACTTCATTGCTTTTCCAGTATATTCAATGGTGCGACTCAGAATCATGTAGCGAACGTCGTTATCCATACCATTATAATGCGTACGAACCGTGCATGTGAATGCTGCTCACCTATTTATAGTATTATATAAGTAATCCTACATAAGTACGGCCTCCCCGTTTTCAGAACAAAATACAAAGGCATTTAGACAGATATAATATACGGAAACATTAAAAATTACGTTTGCTTATTGCATGTATATATTTTACTGAGGGAAATAGCTCTCATTCGTCGTGGGTTTTCATGTTAAGTTCTGAAGTAACGTGCCCCACGTCACACAGAAGCAACCCTTTGTTCACGAGCAAGATTGCATCCGAATTATAACCATGGCAAAACTATGATCGCAAATCCACCGTTCATCTGCCAGCCGAGATAATTTACACTGACAGGTACCAGCGTATGTGCATTACTTACGCCTGGCGTATTTCCATTGTTTCTAATATCGGTGACACCATGTTTGATATAGAAGGAACTGGGGTAGTTTTCCAATCTGCAATTCATCGTGTCAAACAATCAATAAAATCGGCATGACACGAACGGCCATCGCACACATACGAGACTTGTCGTTGGACCCATACACGGATTTACGGGCTATGTTAATAAATTCATCTCTCTCTCTCTCTCTCTCTCCTGCTCTCTTTCTCTCTCTCTCTCTCTCTCGCTCGCTCTCTTTCTCTCTCTCTATTATATATATTATATATCAATGGTTTAGAATAATAGCTGTAGATTGAACAAACCGCTAGAATATTCAGCGATATATTCGAAAAACTGCATTCATGATGCATATAGGTTGACTTTAAATAAAAATAAATTAGTGTCATCCCTATATACCGTGCGCCTGTATAATGCAAAAACGTGAACAGATGCAATAAAACAACACTCGCCCCATGCGACGCACGTGAGCAGTCAGTCAGAATGGTGTGTGGGCCAATATAGAAGCTCCACATCTAAAGGATCCAAAGAAGTACATAGCACCTGAAGATACGATTCAAATTATCAGACTAATAGGTATCTTTAGAATGTATATTTCTATACTTGTCATTTATCAGAAAGGAGACTATTATTAACTACTAGAGCGCTCAGTTTAGCCGTACGACATCGTATGACAACACGCCATTTGAAACAAAATAGAATAGCTTACGTATATCCACTGAATTTAAGTATGTATCTTATAGTCATTTTGTGCGGCCATAGCCAAGAAAAACTGGGCTGTAGTACCTTGGTGTGGTATTCGCGTAATGGCCGCATTTTCGCCGCCGACAATCTTCGTATCGGGGGAGCCATTCTAAAAACAGAAAGCTCGCAATTGCTATATTGGAATCTTTAAAACCGTCCGGTTTAGTATCATGACTCATGTAATTATATTTATTCCTCCCTAAATTCGCCAGCCACGATTTTTCGCGGCTAATTTGCAATATCGCCTAATTATCGCACAAGCTAACACTCTGATCCTAGACTCTGCCTCATAATATCATGCAATTAAGCAAACGCCTAGAGAACTAAATGTGACACAGAATCAGTTTAGCAATGTAAGCTCATGAGTTTAGTTGAGCCTCAAACCTTCGCGAAAGACATACCTTCGGGAAGTTCGTTGCCACCTCGGTAGTGGGCGCTGGCGGCGCAAGACGACGGCGCTTAGCCAGAACTAGAAGCTTCGTGGTGGTTTGATGCACTCTAACTCAAGTGGCTACACTGTCTTGTTACGAAGCTTATATACACCTTTTGATCTATCTGATCTAATCCCAGTATATCCCATGGCTGTTACTCAAGGATCACGATTTGTTTGTTTGTTGTGACTACCAAATACTATCAAACAGCTGGTATATTATATTTCTGTAAATAATTATTATCTTGTTGGATTAACAGGGCGGTTATATCCTGCGTAGAATAGCAATAATAAGCGTACCATATGCCTGATGACCTATGTAAAATGTATTCATATTCAAGTTGCTAAAAATTCTATCTCCTAAAGAGCTATGCGTGAGCGCCTTTCTCTTTGACATAATGTTTTTGCGAGTTACAACTGCGGACTCATAAGATTACTAAACGCACACGAAGGAAAGCTATTATGTACGAGTATGTGGTCTTGCCCACATGCGTCTTAGTATTTGACGACATATACCGCCTGGTGGAATTATACCAGACTGTTCAGATAAAACGCATTAGTATCATATCATCCGAACCATACGAGATAGATTAGATCCATTTGGTTCAACGAGAGTTCCGATTGATAATTCAAAGCTTTTGATGTGATGTTATTCGCTTTGCCATTATTACCATGCAGCCTGGTGTTGATATCATCCTTTATTGAATCACAGTCTTGAGCAAGGATCACGTACAACTTCGTTTTGCCTAGCTCTCTCAGTTTACTGAGAAATGATAAGTTGGGGACAGTCACTAGCATTACGGACATCGCCTAACAGCGACGCTTCACGATACGAATTAGGCTCCGTGCCGCATTTTCCAATAGTAGATTTCCACAGTAATTAGGATTTTTCAATACTATACAGAGTAGGTACTGACTTTGTTCTCAGCTTTCACTGCCCCATATCAGGTGTTTTTGTGTGTTCTCATTCATTTTGCCCTGGTGATTTTAATATTAAAGCCTGCGAGCCCGAAATACTTTCCGTCAAATTTTCAATTTTTTTTTGAACCAACAACTTAAAGTTCCAAGCGTAGTTTTTTATTTAGTAATGTCCGGTTTCGCATGACTCGTGTTTCGTCATCTCTTGATACACGTGTTCTGTCATGTAACAGTGATATACTTAATGGTCAGGAATAGATGTCGCGATAGTATTCAAGGTTTGCGGTAATTTGACGACAAATAAATCATATGTTTTGATTTCAATGTTAAATGGGAAAGGGAGCAACATACGCACGCTACATTTCGAACAAATTTGTTATGTCAGCAACCAGTAGTGTAACCTTGACAAACATGACTAGGATACATTTCAATTGCGATTTCTTTAGCATGAACACTCTGTCACTCACGATGTGTAATCACAAGAGATGCAGTAACGCGCAAGACTGACATGCCCTGTTAGAAACTAAGTACTTCATCAAAGCTACTTGGACGAATATAACAGTTGTGAATTTTCAAAATCGTTTCCTATGGTGTTCGTGCCAGAGAATATTTGACCCTCATTGTATTGTGCTTTTCAAGATAAGTTCAAGTTTTGCACTATTTAGCGTGTTAACCTGGCTTATTTTATTTTATTATGACTTCACGCATCTTCTTACAAGATGCGTACGTCTTAACAAAATGACTTGGCCTAGCAGAAGGAACGTTAGGGAAATATCTGATAAATTTAAGGCAAATAATTCACACCGGCTGTGTAAGATCGCGCGGTAGTAATTGCGATTTAAAGAAAACAATCAGCTGTGAAATCGCATGCAATCAGTCGCCACCGCTTCAGATATTTTACTGTATTGATAGTATTCATTATAGCCAGCAGGTTCAACGAATAGTATTTGCTTATACTATTTGTCGTTAATAGTCTTGCACTGACGGCGACGGACGCCACGACTTACCGATACCAGAAACATGTTAAACTCGAAAAAACGGGCGAAAAAAACACGAAATTATTAAGTGGAATTACGAAAAATTAGATCTTCAACTTTTCATGCTCTAGGTGACTATGTGCGAAAAACGCCAACCGAGAAACGCCATTATAGGCCGCCTTGTCCTCATATCACGTTTGTTAGGCCCAATATTTGATTTCGATAACAATGTGGTTTATGCATGCATGCATGCTCATGCACTGTATTCTTGCAAACACTTATAATCGAGATTCGGTATCCTTCGCGCTAACGCACACGCTCGCAGATGATATTCGTAGTGTTATATATATATATATATATATATATTATATATATATATATATAATATATATAAGTCATAATAGCATATAGAGATATGTATATAGTATATATATGTATACCTATATGTGCTTTGATTAGATTATGCACATGACACTGAGCTAATACCAACGGAATAATGGCAGATATAGCACCGTAATGAAGATGCTATATTTATTACTTTATAATGCTAATTTTTCCGACAATGGAGTGAAGATTTCTATAACTGGATTTGAGACACACGGTATCAATTCTATTTTGTTATGATACACTTTCAAGGAATTAGGTCCATTCCAGCTAACAGATCAGTGCTCTCGTTTTAAGCACTCAGTCAACGCGATGTAGTTGCTCTTTCTTTGCATTAGTAGCCTAATATTCATGGTGACACATTGCAATCGCAGCCCTCATTAAGCATAGAAGTGATATATTCTAACTTAAAATCCAATCTACACGTGGAATGAGAATATATGTTGTAGATCAGAGTGGTTAATAGAGATCTCCATTATCGCAGCTCCTGCGTGTAATCATACTAATTAGCTGGTCATGTCTGGGTTTATCGATACTGTCAGTCATTTACACATTGCCTATCGCCTAATTTAACACACATAGTTAACGTTTGCGGTGAATGCAGCAGTTTTTAACACAACTTTATAAGGAAGATGGCGACACTTTTTCGTTCAATTACGTGAGTAAACAGCGAACATTTGAGCGGTATAGACACACTATTGGGCAAATTTGGACACCCTTTAGCAGGACATCATGCGTTTACGTGAAAATGTTGCGATGTCGCCACTTGATTTGCGCATTGGCCGTTACTTACTCTAACAGTTAAGTAAACGCAGGGCGTCTTTCCACTATCCACTATAAATCGCTTATTAAATCAAGTGTATCTACACTGTCGATAGGAATGATGAAGCAATCATGATAGTTCATATATATATTATATATATATATATATATATTAATATATCGACGATGTTCCATCTGTCTTATAGGAATTATTAATTAATACTCGCGTTAAGCTTCCAGTACTATCGGACGCAAACGTTTTTTATATAGCCACTATTGAATTGCGCTTCAATCGGATAGCTGGGAAAATGCAAGGAACATGGAAATTGAAATGCGGAACAACCAACGACTGCCTAGGCGAAAGTATATATGAGAAAACAGGAAGTTACACACGAAATAGCTATTAAACAAACACATAAAGTGAAAGACATTCACGTCTAGAATATTGCTTTTCATATCTCGAAAACATGCCGTAAATCCTTTGCGTAAATTTCGTAAACATTAATTACGCAAACACTATGTTAATTCAACGCTACGCTGGCCTACTTCATCTCGGTATAATAGAATTAGAGTGGAATTATGGTTTACGCCCGTCATATACACGCTATCGTAATTTCGTTTTCCGTCTACGAGGCTGTTAGAACGCGACGGGCGAGCGCGATATCTCAGAAGCTCCAGATCAGTTGTTATCTCGAAGGCCTATGCACACTTCTTTGTACCCCGGTAGTAATTCGCAGTGCTTCGCGGTGCTTGCCTCGGGTGTCGCTTGCGTAGCTTGGCAGCACAGTCCTATTCTTTCGTCACTATTCGCCCTGACCTTTGACATTCGATCATGCTGTGAGT